TCCTTTTTGTGTATAAATTTGAGTACAATGGAAATGTAGACTGTTCATMTTAGTTTCAAACGTTCTAGTTTTCTCATCATCACATTTGGTCGTCTTTACACGAACCTTTTCTCATTCTGATTTCCTTTTTACCTTCAGTCCTCCCTCTGGSGACACCATAATGCTCATCATTGAAACAATAGACTGTTTTGATGTAATTTGATGTGATTCTGCAATAGGACAATTTTACGGCCTGTTTCCAATTCAAACTGATATTGTTTTTCAGACGGTGTGTCATATCAACAACAAGCCATGTTTACATGGAAGCGAGTGCAGCTATAGAAACAACACAACCTATTGTAATTGTGGATCGGATTTGACAGGAGAACAATGCGAAGGTACAAGTTTTTTATTTCAGTTTAGATATTTGTACGTTTAGGGGCTATTCAAAACATAMTTCCTAACCGCTGAAGGCTGAGGCAAAAATTCCCACATTGATTCCTTTTGCAGTAATAATGATGATAACAATTTAATAACAATTTATTTATTTTACATAGCGCTTAAAGTATAAATATTCTTARTAAAACCAGAAGACGAAATCAGATYCTGTCAGTCTGTTTGAGGAGGCTGTGGACCGGTACAGCTTCTTATTTCACAAATGCAATTTTAAATGAACTGTGACAGCTTGACCTTTTAGCAGCCAACAAGCCAAACTGAGCGTCTATAGCATAGCCATATGTAGTTGGTAAGCACGCTTTCACATTACGAAAAAGACGTGAAGGYATGAAGAGTATGGGACAATGGAAGCTACTCTAGACTGAAGACAATAGCTCATAAATATCTAGAAATATAGCGTTTTGAACCCTCACAAGAGCAGTTTCCGTTGATATTTTACAGCAAGACGAACGATTGACAGGAAGAGGTGCATTTTTCAAACAGTGGCCGAGAAGCTGAGGAATAACAACCTTTTYATTTCTAGGAATATTAGAAACGACGCCAATGGCTGACAAGTCGGAAGTTTCGCCATAACACTTCATCCAGACTGAGCTTCTTTTTTTAATGGAAGTATGTTGCTTGGTAAAGATAGAATTATCAAGCAGAAATAAAACTGATGAGATCTTGTCGTGCCGTAGCGCCTAGAATCCTACTTGTCCACAATTCCTTGGAAKTGCCTGAGTAAACAGGACATGCTCAAAGCCGGTCGGAGACAACAATTCCTGTCGCCAAATGGCAACTTTACTAAGCGAATAGAAGCACCTAACAAGCGAACAGGGGTCCATACTATTTTTYACTTGTTTTTTATCGACTTATTCGAACTTTTTAGATACGCCTTAACTTATTTAAAAAAAATTTTCTTATCAAATTGTAACTTAGAATTATGAATTTAACATTTTATACCCTGACCAGTCCTTTTCCCTAAACCTAACCCTTCGACTAGAGCTACAAATGTAAAGCGTCGTAACTAACTTGACCACGAGGGATTACGCTGGCAAACAACGAATCGTTTGTGACATTTAAAGTATTTTGCATTGCTAATAGCACCGGTAAATTGGGATTCCTTAGGGACCGCTATTCGCTTGTTACTATAGGTGCTTCTATTAGCTTGTTAGGGACCGCTATACGCTTGTTAGTTAATACCATATATGGAATATGTATGACAACCCCTACTCATAAAAACGCTCCCCTTTTCTCGCCACCATTCTCCTCTTTTGACTCCCMAAAAAGACAGGAAGCCCGTGATTCTTTGTGATGWCTGCGGAGGAGGCTATCAATGCTGTATAGTATCTGATAAACTCTAAGTCTTAAGACAACCGGGAAGGATTTAAACATGCAAAACAGCAGTAATTAGTTAAGGTAGACGGTTGAGGTCTAACACTGGTAAAGATAATCGATAGCCAAGACTGTTCACTGAATTTCTTCATATCCTTCYACTGGGTCTTGCGGAAGCCGATCACCTCTGTATCGAACACGTAGACSAAGCCCATGCAACCCTTTAAAACACTGTGCTGGATTGAGATCAAATGCTAGATATAAGATACAAGATATCAGTGCAACCAAAATACATCCATTGACGATCATCACAATCCAGACAACAGGAGCGCCGAAGAAGCTGTCGAGAGCTGCCAACCTTAAAACCATAAAAGATATCGACAATACAAATAATACAACGAACTCAAAAATATTTTCAAATAAGCTGCTATTGTCGTTGCTGCTGCTGCCGCCGTATGGTTGAAGACGAAGCTGGATGATGGCTGACACTACAAGAATTATCCAAACAATCACTGCCTGAACTGACTTCATGGAGGCAAGAACAGATAAAGCAACGGCCAGAAGCAGTCGACGGAGTWCTAGGACAAACTCAAAGTACAGTTGATATTCTGWTTTGTATGCTAAATACACTGAACCAAGCCACGAGTCCAAGTTTTGCTTTTCCTCTTCATTCATGGAATCCCTCTTCTTATAGAAGATTTTCATCAGAATAAATAGCATGGCAGGATAACCAATGATATAGAAAAATACAGAAAGCCAACCCATTATGGTAAGTAKCTGGTACGTTGAACTGTTGCAGTTTATCCACGGTGTTTTGGGCATGAAACGCACTCCCTGGTCATTGTCACAAGGACGAAGCGATGACACTGTCGCTCCAACAATTGGATAATATACAAAGTTGAGACATGATATTGTAAGCTGTCGACATTTCCAGCGACTAGAAAGACAGATGCGATCTTGTTGTCGCCTTAGTCTTTCATATGCAGTGGAGCTCATAAAGTACACGCCAATTAAAATAAAGCAAACCAAAGGTAAAAGAAGAATAAAGGCAAATCTACCGACAGGATCAAACAGCACTGGAAGTTCGCAAGAAAGTGAAGCAAAGTGTAGATTCCAGAAGCTACTGATGAGATGCTGGACTGCAAATACCTGTCTTGGCCACACATTGAATGTCGAAACCATAGAATCAAGGGTTTGAATGTAAAAGATTCCAATTTTGATCAGGGAATTAGCTCTTTTCCCCCGATTGGTCATATAAAATACAAGAATGAGAAGGTTCAGTTTAAATATCCAGGCTGGTGTTAATTCCAGCAAAGTGAAAACAAATAGAAGAACAAATTCAACTGCAACAATAATGAAGGCTTTTTTCTTAGAATCTTTGAAGWAAAACAAAGAAAAAAGCATAACGAGGACAGTCACTGCAAATACAGCAAGAAATATATAGAAAGTAATGCTATCTTTAGGTTTKGGGCAGGGAAAGCAAAGTCCCCCAGCTTTATAGAAGCCTCTCTGACAACGAGAACAAAACCGATCTGTGTTACCATGGTGGCAGACGCAAGACTTGTTACACAACGTGATAATAGATGACACTTTGCTATTGGCTGCAGAATAACTGGTCAGGTTACGTGAAGTTTGGAGATTGCACGTGCAGTCACCACTCGGGTTGCATGCCTTGGAAACTGGACAAGGTACAAGATGGGTGGCATTACGTATGCTGGGTGATGGCCAATATCCAGTGTTTATCTGCATAGTGTTCGCTTTAAGGTTATTGGCTGATAAAACCATTGGCTTTCGACATGTACCTCCAAGCATACACTTTTTACATAAACCACTGTCTCCATAGAATCCCTCATCACACAAACAGTAGTGATATTTATAAAAAGTAGGATCTAGTTTTACATGTCCATTGTTAAAGATTAATCTCCCTTCTGCACACGTGTAGTTGGCTTYTGGGTTTGGTCGCGTCATAGCAGAAAGATCAAATCTTAAGACGTGGTTTGCTTGGGTTTGACGCATTTTTTTATTGCCTGAAATATCCAAGTATTGTAATGAAGTGGGGCTTGTTATACYCAGTGGAAGATCACCAGACAAATGATTGCCAGAAACATCCAAAAACGTTAAGTAGCTGCTATCTGATATTACTTCCGGAATGCTTTCATTAAACTTATTATTTCTAAGATCGCATATAATTAGGGTAGTAAAACGCGTAAAAATCTCACTAGGAATAGGTCCCTGTAAGTCACAAATGCTAATGTTTAACATGGTCAAAATGTGATTGACTTCACGGCCTCCAAGAAGGCCATCCCGAAAAAAACTGTCAAGGTTGATGGACAAATTTCTATTTRCAGCCAGGGAGAGGTATTGTAAAGTTATTTTAGGCGGGCGTTTAGACGACCAGGAAGCACCATTGTTCACGGACGTAAACAGGTTTTGCGATAAATCTATCTTCCTGGCAATTAAAAATAATAATTGCCCTGGGACGTCCCCAGTAAATTTGTTATTCGAAATATCGAAAATCCTTATGTTTTTTGGAAATCTCTCTGGTGCTGGTAAGGTTCCTTCCATTTCATTACCATTCATAATCAAATGTTTAAGTTTAGGAGGGAATTTTGTTAGATTTCCCTTAAGTTTAACTCCTGATACAACAAGATATAATAAACTCGAGATAGAAAGCAAGTCTCCCAAATGACCTGTCATTTTTCCAGGAGGATTGATCAAGTTGAAATAAAAAAGCTTCCTAAGTCTAGAAATGCTTCGTGGAATTCTTCCTGTGAAAGTGTTACCATGCAGGCACAACATTCGTAACTGCGACATGTTTCCTAGACTTCTTGGCAAATAACCTGTTAARCCTTTTCCAATCATCGGACATGCGAAGAACCGTTCTAAAAATGACAAGCGGACAAAATGTTTTGGAATGCTACCAGTGARTGAGGCYCCATTTAATATAATTATGCGGAGCTGGCTCATGTTTCCATAGACAAAGTCATCCATACCTCCAGACAGCTTTGGATTACCGGGGACACACAGCGACATCAGGTTTCTCAACTTCCATAGATTTGTGGGTAGAAACCCTTGAAGATTGTTGTAGGCCACCACGATGCTTTTGACGTAAGATGTGTCATTATGRCAGCTAATCCCATACCAATCACAGTGGAAAGTTTGGTTTGGACTGTTCCATCCAGTTTGGTTGTACCAGTTATATCCATTGGCAAAATAGTACATGTCCAGTAAAACCTGCTTTTCCTGTTCTGGGGTGTATGAAGTATCAATGGTAGAGTTAAATTTTGAGTGTACTGATTTTAAGCAATCGTAGCCTTCATTTCTTATCAAGATGGAAAGACCTGAAATATAAAAATGCAGTCTTTAAAGATGGATTGATATTGCTTTCCAAGCATATTTATTGGACTTTGGTTTGATATAATTTCGCTTTCGTGGCATAGCTTCCTGAAATATATAGATTTACTAAATAAATGAATGGAAGCCATATTTCTTTAAGTAGATATCAGTTACAAAATTCTACATGTACATTGGAGATATCTCTTTTATAGTTGAACGTTTAAGTACGTGTTTTCCCCTTCTTAAACTGGACTGCCCATTCTTACTGCTCTTATTAAATATGAAAGACTAAAAAACATTAATGACCGTGAGACTTTGTAGCGAAACCACTTCGAACAATTTTAACTATATTTGACGTCACCCATAGWTATTATGAGAGCAGCATTTACTATCGAAAGCTATATAACTATTTTCTTAATGAAGTACAAAGCATCGCAATGTTCCCAAATTTGTCAAACATTTAAAGTCAAAATTGAGAACACGTAATCATGCTATCGTTATCGTCTTATTTCCTACGAARTGACCTTAGTGTATTTCTTTTTTTCCCGTTAGATCTAATTAAAAAAAAAATGCATTTAGTATTCGACGTTTTGATGTAATCATGATTTAAGATGGCAGATAGGAGGATCTTTGTTTACAAAATTATCCTCATATTAGTATAGGCTTTAAAATGTGCTGTGTATTCTCTCTCTATTGGAGTGTTTAAAACGATTTGAAGAAAGCTTATCATATCACGTTCTTTCAATATTAGTTGCTGAGTTGCTACCATTTTCTCAAAATGTTCAGAGATGTTAGCCTTCGACGTTTTGTGTCAAAAATCGTTAATTGGTCTTTACGGAAAGAAACTGATTACAAAGCAGACCTATTTCCTTATTTGCTTATAAGTTATTATTCTAGATAATTACAGTAAAGTCAGTGTTTGAATACTCCAGTTTCGAATTCATACCGCAAATCGCTGCTTTATTTGACAACAGATTCTCTTGCTCAAAGACCTTACAAACACAAAAGAGAGCACGAGAAATGTCGTTATTACAATAGACTTGAAAATTTGCATTTTCCCCGAGTTGAGACTAACCCTGTATTCCTATGAGACCTAAGGTATGAGCCTTYTGGGAATACAGGGTTAGCCTCAACTCGGGGAAAATGTAAATTGTAAGCGCTATTGTACAGGCAACATTTTCTTGTGCTTTCTTTTGTGTTTGGTAAGTTCTTTGCGTAAGAGAATCTGCTATCAAATAAAACAGCGGTTATTCGCTTTAAATTCGAAAATGGAGTATTGTGATGTATCGAGTGTACCGTACGCGTATCATGGAGCCCTTGTGAAACGAGACTATATAGTTGTAAGATTATTTGCTTTGATTATTTCTCAAACTAAGGAAAATATTTACATGACAAACACATTAGATAAATGAGTAAAAGAAAAGAAAAKAAATAAATAAAAGATAAAAGAATATAAATGTAAGTTCATAGCTGTAAATTAATTAAAAGTGTATTTTGAGCACGTCAGTTTAATTTCGCATGTTAATGTTTTGTATTTTTTTAGAAATTCTGAAAAACAGATATAAAATTATTTTGCTTACCGTCCGGTTTGTGCGAAGAAATTCCTCTTATACCAAACCCAGGCGTCACCGTAAAGGCAGTTATAGCTAAAAGGGCAGAAAGGTGTGAAAAAATACCAGAAAAAAGCGAACGCATGTCGAAACGTCCTGTGATGTCTCTCAAAGCGGGTTCGCTATGAGAGTCAAATACAAGGAATCTCGATCTCAGGACAAAATTCCTTAAAGGSCCCCTTAAACACTTAAATGTGATGATTTGAACCACTTACCTTAATATCGAAAGGAATAGACATCATCAAGAATATCAAAAATAGTGCATCTCAAATTTTTATAACTGATATACCGGTAGTGCAACTTCTCATTCTGTGATCAATACTTAAGTGATGCCAATACTCCAGTTTCGAGTTCATAGCGAAAAACCGCTGCTTTATTTGACAAAAGGTTCTCTTGCGCAAAGACCTGACCAAACACAACAGAGAGCACGAGAAAATGTCGTTATTACAATAGCTTTAAAAATTTGCATTTTCCCCGAGT